GAACGTTTTCTTGAGATTGCAACAGCTTCAGAGTTTTTACCAAGTCTGTTTTACCTGCCCTTTTCTGTTTATGTTGGCTGTGGTATTTATTCTATGCTTACACTGTATATTAGCTTCTTAACTGAGTCTGTTCTGTGTCTCTTCAGTCAAGTCGTTGAAAAGCGTAGTAATTTTCACTTTTTCTTCTTTGTAGATACGGTGGACAAAGACAGCTGGTAGTGTGTCAGATCGTTTCCAGGACTCCAGCGTCTTCAACGAAACGTTGCACATCGCAAAGATCCAGAGGACCCAGGGAGGCCGCTACTACTGCAAGGCCGAGAACGGCCTTGGCTCTCCTGCCATCAAGTCCATTAGGGTGGACGTCTACTGTAAGTGTGATGAATTTGAGTCAGCACAGACCATTTTCATTTTTCAACATTGCCCAAAAACAATTGCCCATTGTTGCTTTACAGTAATAAGGTTGTGGTTGTTTTGTTCACGGACTTTGTATTTTTTTCTTGTGAGTTTAGCCTCTTTCTGTGTGTGTGTGTGTGTGTTTTTGTGTGTGGTTGTTATTATGTTTTTCTTCCTGGTTTCAAAGAAGTCCAAGTGCGGCAGACTGCAAATGGTAAATTGCCCAGAGGTGTGACTATCAGCGACTGTATCTGTGTTACCTTGCTAAGGATTGACCAGTAGACCCTTATTCTTCCATCTAATTCTATTTTGGCAAGATTCCAGACAGCCATGACCCTGAAAATGTTTCTGTTCACAGTCGTGATTTTGCAGCAATGCCAGCCTCGTAGTGGTGTAGTAAAACATACAACTCAAGAACCTTTTGCTTGCCTGGAACAGCATATATGTATGCTTTAGAATTGAATCGGTTTATTATCCTGCAAAGAAATTAGAACGTAAAGTGAAACAGGTGTTGCAGTATTAATTTATAAGTCAAAATGTTAACACAGACAGCTGGTGAACAGATGAAACGATACAAAGATGCATAGCCCAAAAATAGCAATGTTCCAGTAGTTATTATGATGTAACGCATAAGAACAGAACTTCTTCTTCCTCTCCTGAGAATGTTACTTAGATGTAAAGTCAGTCATTGTACATGCAGATTCTTTATTTTAAAAGCAGCTGCATGACAAATGCGAAAGGTTCATTAGCATTCATTAAGCAAACGTAACAAACTTAACTTTACTGCTTTTATTGATTTGTCAGTGATTATCCGATTTCACTTCGTGATGAGGAATAGCAGTCGCTGCCCTCCATCAGACACCCTCCAGCCTACTTATTTGTGCAAAGACCGCCAAATCTGGACTTTATGTTCAATAAGAAATCCGTAGTCATGCCATAATTAAAAGCTTGTCTTACTGTTTGAGCTTCATGAAATTCTACTGAGATACATTTAAAATGACTTGCTTAGTGCCTTTGAAAGATCTCCAAGCTGCCTCACTGATTTCAGCAGCTCTCAGTCCCTTGCTCTCCTTTTTTTATGCCAGACTGCAAGGAAAAAAATGTTGTATCTTTGAAAATAAATGACCCCAGTGTCCTTAATTTGTTTCCAAATATCATTTTCAATCACAGAGGAAAGAAAAAGGTAGTGATGCTCTTGATTATTTTCCAGCAACGCCTACAATAATTCCAGGCACTTTTTCATGAGTTAGGATTTATACTCCTGCATTTCCCTGCATTGATGGCAGTGATTTGAGGCAGTATATTTACAGTAAAAATTCTTTTTTTATGTGTCAACATTATACGAGTGCTTCATTTAACTTGCGTTAGCAGGGAACATTTAATTGAAAATGACTTCATAGCTACTTAATTATGTCTTCTTTGTGCTGTGCTTTACAAAGTAGCCCTCTTGTAGTCTGCCTCATGACTTTAGAAAAGCTCAGGCTGGCATGCATTGGTAAAACGTTGGGATGTTAACAATGCATACATTTTCCAAATAACATTCTTAGTGTTCAGCCATAGTTCGGTTAGTAAAACAGTTTGAAAATCAATTGTGATAAATAATCCTGTCCAAGTTTGTTTATAACGTTGGAACTGACTTTTATTGTGAAGTACAAAGTAATTGGCATTTCTAAGCACTCGGTCTCAAGGACACGTAATGCCCTTCATTGCAGTTTGTTGTTCCATACAGTGCAGAAAACCTCTTATCCCCTAAAAAACAAAACAAAACAAAACAAAACAAAACCCTAGCACAGTAGCAACAAGAGTCACCCAAGAAGGAAAATCCTAACTTGTCTACAAATGCTCACCGTTTACTCCCCATTCTGTTGTGATTGTTGAATAAGTGTAATACATGCCAGAATGAGAGCATGATAGCCTTCAAAGTAAGAGTTGTGCATTATCGCTACAACCAACGCAGCCAAGCCAAACGATGCAGCTTTTACTTTGAAGGCAAATCCTCTCCATTTCTGGACACTTTTAACAGTTTTGCTACCACTTGGCAAGCAGTTTGCAGGTGATCGCAGACATCTCAAGTCAATGTCTTCCAAACTACTGGCAACAGCAGCAACCTACTAGCTACCAAAGCAATCACAAGGAGGTTTGTGGTGCAGCACTGTATACCTATTTGCAGCCATGCTAGCAACTCCTGTCAACCTACAGCAACCAACTTGCCAACCAATTGCAGAATACACACTTTTCCCTAGTAACCAGTGTTTCCCAGGGTGGTCACTGACTGGTCTGTAGGTCTGCATGAACGGGGCTGTTGGAATCAGTTTCACAGCGACTGCCAGAAACAAGCATCAAACACTCACAATCAGTTGAGGAATCCACTCTAGGACAGTCTTTCATGTCCCAAATGGAGCCAAATGTTGCTCAGTGCTATTGGTATTAAATAGTGTCTCATAATTTCCTGTTGATTAACAGTTACCCTCAGAAAACAATGTTAATGATGAATATACATTTTTATGGTAATACCACGTGTCTAAAACGGTTTCACTGATGCTCTCCATTTAATCGGTAAGGATACTAGCGTGCATGCTCTGAGGCCCCAAATCCACAAAAAATGTCGCTCATTTTTCAACTTATGAAAGAAGGATAATTTCTTCGAAGTATGCATGACTGAACAATGAATAAATGAGGCACCATCTTGTGATCCAGTTCCCCTTTATATACCCTCTCTTTCTCTCTCCCTCTCTGTGCTTCCTTCTCATGTCCCCCACATAAATACAGAGTACATTGTTAACTGGCTCTCCTTTTCACTCGTCTTTCATGTCTCTGTCTTATTCTCTTTCAGCATGTGGGCTACATTCTTGTACTTGTTTATTTGGACTGACACTGGCAAAAGTTGTGGAATTGAAACTTGTTTAGAAAGCTTGTGGAAGGGCTTAGTGGTGCAGGAGGATGGGGCTGAATGCATCTCAGCTGCTGACAGTTAGAACCGTGTTCCTTCTGTGCACTATTTCACCTTGGCTGCACTAAAGAGGTGCAGGAGCAGACGTGGAAATGAAGCCCGAGACAGACTGGAGACACAACCTTAGCATAATAGAAAGGCATGGCTTCTCATCCAGCTTCATCATACGGTATTTTGCAGCCTTAGTTCTCTTGATGTTGAAAGCAAACTGATGATTGTCATTGGTGAATGATAGCGATGTAAATGAAATAAACTGGCTACTGTGAATAAGTATGCATAGTTTAATATATAGACAACGTCCATTGGTTACAGTAATTTGGTAACTCACACGGAATATTCCATGCATATTTTAGATCATAGCATTTGTTTGCTGTCCTTGTAATCTCCTTGCATCTGGCCTTGTAACACAGCATGTTTGTATTTCACAAGAAATGTGTTATGTTGCGCATCCAGTAAAAGCACATCATTTCTACAGAGCCACGTTATAGCTGTCCCCTGGGGGTGAATTTAATTTGTTGCCCTCTGCAGTACACGCTGCTTTTAGTGGTTTGCAGCTACAATTTCTGATTAGTATTAAAATAGATACCGTGGCTCCGGACCTCACAACAATAAAGCCATGAATTATATTTGCTTTCTGTTTCAGCTGCATCTTACATGTCTGTCTTGATACTCGTTTGTTTACATCTGACAAATAACTCCAGCAATAATGGACTATATCGCTTCTGTTGTAAAGGAAAGATAGTATTCATGACGAGACACGGGGCCCCGGCATGGTTTACAATGAGAGGCTTAAAACCTGAATGATCTTTCTGCAGCTGATTCCTTTTTACTCTTTTCTTCTGAGACTATTTATTTAGCTTCTGCTGGTTGGAATCAAGGGTCCTGTTTTCAATTTTCAAAAGAAGCACTCGAAATCTTATATTATATGTGTATCTTTATTAGATCAGTGAGCATGCTTCCCTCCTTTGTACGCGCAGCCTCACCCTGTTGTGCTTTCTTTCAATAAATTTTGATTTAAACAAAAACATTAAATGTAGATTCATGAAGCAGATACATGAAAATAAAATGACAGAGAAGCGCAAAAGTTCTCTTTAGAGTTTTCTGTGAACAGCGGCCAATATGAGGAAGGGATAATTAATGGTAATAACTGCCCTCTCCAGCTGGGAGGAGCTGATATTAGCTATATACCCAGCTCAAAGCTAATGTATTTACAAGGCTCAGAAGTCCATCTAAGCACATTTTATACCTGCTGACACCTCAGTTGTGTTTGTCCACAGTTGGGTCTATGGGGAAGGTCCTCTGCAAAGTTAATAAAGAACCTTGCCCAACTCCTACACTGATCGATTTTAAGCTTAAGATGCTCGCTTCTTTTTCCTGAAGGGGAGTCTTTTCAGTGCTCTCATTTAATTTCAGCTGCATTAATTTTGCTGCAGCATCTAATGTTTCATTGAGTGACTGATCGAGGAGAGCTTAAGAGTTCTTCAGGGGCAGCTTATTGCAGGCTCAGGGAGTTCATTGACCATCACCAGCACAATATATCTAAACGAGATTTGGCCAGAAGGCGAGCTGAGGAAAATGTTCATTGAAGAGACCGCTCAAAAAACAAACTGTGAGAAAGAACTTTTAGAGTCTGGTCTATTCCTTTTCATGGTAGTTGGTCAATAAATGTATGCTCCTTTTTCCAAAGTGCCAATGGGAAATCTAAAAGTCTTTAGAGACCCATTTGTTTAGGTTTTCTGGTTTAATAACCGATATCAAGGCCAAAATTTCAGTGTTTTCCCAGCAATTATTGTTTACAAATGTGTATTACAAAAAGAAAAGAAAAATGTATCTCAGCATCAGACAGTATGGTTTAGGCATTTGCAATCCTTTTGCAGTGTTTATTTACATGCTACCAAAGTCTATTCAAATGTGATTGGTCAATAGAAATCAGGGCACAGAAGCCAGAAAGCTCACAATACAAAATATATTTTCCCTTGCCTACATGCTGTGTCTTCCAATGTGAAGATTTGCAGCTTGCTTGTG